GACGTGCCCCTCAAATCCATTGTATAACTAGAACATACAATCTGACTCGTGGGATGATATCCCATGGACTTGCCCCTCAAATCCATTGTATAACTGGTTTCTGTATGATGTTTATYAGATGCGTGTTGCTAATATAGCAGTCCGAACTCTTTACGGGGTCCATAGAACGTCGTACCGAGCTGGTTCAGTGGCTGACATTATCTGTGAGTAAAGATTTTAATTGTGATTAGTTAGTATAATAGTTCACTTATAACRGACTCGTACCCAGTCGTCACTCACGCTCTTTTAATCCCTTGATGCACCGCGAACTCACTAAATCCTTCCCATCCACCACAGCGTGAAGTCAATAAGACAAGCGAAGCGACTGGGTACGAGTCTGCCACTCAAAAAGTTCCCTGCGCCATTTTGAAAGGTAGGCGTGCATTTGCACGACATATGAATAGTTGTTCAAGTTTCACTGCAAGTTCACTGCGTTCATCTCGCYTCGATGCAAAAGAACGATTAACTCCCGAGATGGCGCAGGGAACTGTGAAAGGAACTATCGTAGACTTGTAGAGTTTCGATAAGCTATCCACTAATAATAGGCCGTTTGCCTGATGGTGTCATTTTACTACCACTACCAAAATGCGGCTCTGCGAATCAACTTTCTTTCTTATTCAAATTCGTTTTTCTTCATGAGAATAGTAAGACAATTGGTGCTCTAATTAACTGTGCAAAAAGAAAGTGTGCAAGGGAGTCTGGTAGTGGTAGTAGTAAATGATGCCATAATGCAAATGTTCTATTGCTGGTGACAAGTTTGGCCTTTTAATACTACATTTTAGTATTTCAATTTGTATTCATAGATGCTGCTACCGGAGGTACGATGGACTGGGTGGCTGGTACCCTTGGCGTGACGTACTCCTATGGACTGGAACTGAGAGATAAAGGTAGATATGGGTTTTTGCTCCCAGCCAATCAAATTCGCCCGACAGGAGAGGAAACCTTTGCAGCCATCAAAGCTATGGTTCAAGAGATGAGAATCTGATTAAACTGTTCAACATTATATAACATTTGAACTTCAAATAAAGCTTATGTGATAACATTCTTCGTTCATTTTGCATCTCTCGACTCATCAATGCCCCCCTCAACCCTCCAACATTTTGAATTCAATTTTTACTTCTAATCACTGCCAAGCAAGGTCAGTAGAGTGCAAATCATATGTTCATGAAATAACACAAAGATTAAATAGAACTAAACACATCTATTTCTCTTGTTTTCGATTATTTCAGTGGTGCTATTTTGTACTAATTAGTTAGTACTATCTCACGGATATATGGGTGGCACTCTAATGTCTCAGTACCCCTAAAGCGAAAGAGAGCTAAGGCTTGTGCATGCGCAGAAAGTGTTAGATGTTCATCGTTCTCGCTTTTTCTTGTTATGACAAGGATATACACTCAATTGAGGAATCCTTGTCGGGTTCACAAACATAGAACATAGAAGCTGAGACCGAAATGGCACATGGGAAGTACGTTAAGTAGATGAAAAACGTGCTGAAAAGCACACATGCGCAACTTTTCTCCGCGCTGACTTTAGAGCTTGTGTTTGTTACGTCATAACCACCATTTTGATTGACGATAACAAAGCATTCCTCATTAGCTTAWCTTGCTAGATCAACTAGCTTGGTGGTTGTTTCATTGTTATTCTCAGGGGGTTTTAGTTACATGGTTGCGCGCACTTTATACTAGAGATACAGCGTCTGAAATACTTGGGAACATCCGCACGGGGATCAGGGACATTCGGGGTACATTCAATCGTACAGATAAATACTTTATTCATTCAAAATGTATGTAATGTGAGTGTGAGTGTGAGTGTGAGTGTGAGTGTGAGTGTGAGTGTGAGTGTGAGTGTGAGTGTGAGTGTGAGTGTGAGTGTGAGTGTGAGTGTGAGTGNGAGTGTGAGTGTGAGTGTGAGTGTGAGTGTGAGTGTGAGTGTGAGTGTGAGTGTGAGTGTGAGTGTGAGTGTGAGTGTGAGTGTGAGTGTGAGTGGACGGATGTAAATAGACCGTTCTCGGCTATACTTGATTGTCCACCCAAACAATGGGTAGTTTCCCCAATGGAATACAGAATGTCCGACCAACAAACTCTAATACACCTAAATCCAAAATGGCGCATGGGCGGTTGAAAACGAGGCATCCGGGGCCAAATTTACAAATTTACAGTATTTTCTTATAATAAATTGATGCTACAAAATTATCGCTATTCTGAATGTAAGAAAAGAAAGACAGACCAAGTGAACAAGTGTATACTTTGCATCGACACGATATTATTTATATGTTAAGTGTATGCTACATCGAGTGTATAATCTGCTTACTGCGATTCCCAGTCACACGCGACCAAGTGAGACCAAAATCACAAACAAAAAGTTGAGTTTTGGTGGACGTCAATTAAAAGGGTTTCTTAAACATGTCTAAGGATTCCGACTTCGAATTTCAAACGTTTAACTGCAAACTATCAGTATTGACTTATCCTATCTTGAAGAAACTCAAATCATAGCCATAGCGATAGCTTTGCAATCAAGCGTTAAGATTCGGAGCCGGAATCATGTGACATTTTTTGAGAAAATATATCCAGAGTGAGAAATTCACAGCGACAAGAAGCATGAGGTAAGGACAACGATTTTTGCACATTTGCACGTGTTCACGTGAGTATTCACAGCAGTACTGGCGTAGAAACCAATACAAACGATTGAAACCCTTTTGATTGACGTCCACCCAAATTCAAATTTTCGTTTGTGATAAAGGTCTAGTTCGTCGCGTGTGACTGGGAATCGCAGTAATACATATAGATCTTTACCGCGAGTGACAAAAACACATTTCATAAATTCTACAATATTATTTCTTTGCATTTGGCCCTGGATGCCTTGTTTTCATGCAACACACTCGGCCGTAAGCCATTTTAGACTTAMGTGTATTCATAAGAACTTTTATTTATTAATTTTTTTCTTAATGTACCTTTAGAATGCATTGATTCTAAGAAAAAACATTTACAATTTTCAGAAATCGGTGTCTATTGTATGCTGTATATCAGAAATGAAATATTTGCTTTCATATAGACTTTTATATCTTTACCCGAACACAGATGTTTTAGGTATACGTTAAAAACAGGAGTACGGGATTGTTGTAGGTGGTGGCTATTCATTCTCCCGTCATCCAAACAAATACATAGATTACATATTTTGACCTTTATTTCACAGATTATTAAGTACAACATACATGTGTTTTATGTTTAGATTCTCATCTCTTGAACCATAACTTTGATGGCTGCAAAGGTTTCCTCTCCTGTTGGACGAATTTGATTGGCTGGGAGCAAAAATCCATATCTACCTTTATCCCTCAGTTCCAGTCCATAGGAGTACGTCACGCCAAGTCTTGATGTCACCCAGTCCATTGTACCTCCAGTTGTGGCGTCTAGAAAATTGAGAGATTATCAAGTTCATCAGTGGTCAGTAGATCAATGTAGCGCCTATTGAAAGTCAAGGGAGAATGCACCCTTCTTAGCGAAGCTAACAAGAAAATACGAAGAAATGCCACAAATTCCATCGAGAAAAAATGTGATTTCTTTTCGATTTTCACGATATCCTCGCCTCTACGATGCTTTTGAGAAGGGTCCATGGTTTTTTTCTTTTTACGATTTCAATCTATTTGCCATTTTCAGCCAAGGAAAAACCTGGATCGAGTTTGCATTGCAGTGCATAGAGAACGAAATAGAGCGCCATCTTGGATATAATTCTTCTAAGGCGATTCCACAATGCACTACAAACAAGTCGACCCTGTTGTTTCTTTAACCTCGGAATGGCTAATTTTTCATGCATGGATGGCAAGCGCTGCTGTGTTGCTGTCTCACACAGCTGTGTAAATCACGGCCTGTAGTCGAGTGTTATAAATAATGAATGAAGCAGTAGTCCGTGTGGAGCAAACCTCACGGAAAAATAAGAGAACCCCTTACGATGATACATGGTTGTGAATTATAGTTTTTTAATCATTAATGTCTAAGTTTCATTTCCTGCATTTGTATTCTTCAGTTGGGATCAAGAGTTTGTATGTACAAATGTAATGTCTCAAACTCATTAATAATTCATGAGGTCAATGACCAATGGCGACCTTGCATTGTAGTCACGTGCACGCACCTTGATACTTGATCAAACACGTATTGCGCCTGAGATACTTATGAAAGCGCTCGCGCATCTCAGAAATCATTCATTCATACTTTTTGCTTTAACAGCTGCGTGCATTGCTCATGTGAGCCAATTAGCTTTATGATTATGAAAATACTTACATATGATATCGGCTGAAGTTCCCGCTCTGTAAGATGTTCGGTGAACCGCGTACAAAGCCCTCACTGCCTTATTTGCCACACGCATCTAAACGACAAACACCAAGAAACATCGTTGTTACACCGTACTGCTCAATCGCATATGCCACGACGTTTTCAATCTATTTCAAACTGTAGTCTTCATGGGGTTCTGTATAAGACTTTAAGCATGTATGTCCGTATAACAATCCCCTCCCCCACCCCTCTCGGGTCATACGTTCGTCTGTGATACTCATTGTTAACTGTCTTACATCTCTTTGTAGGTGGATAGGCACCTTAAGCATGTCCCATGGGGTCACCCATAACTGACTGTAAGCATGGATGTCAAGATAACAATCCACTCCCCCACCCCTCTCGGGTCATACGTTCGTCTGTGATACACATTGTTAACTGTCTTACCATCTCTTGGTAGGTTGGTGGATAGGCGCCTTTAGCATGTCCCCATGGTGTCATCCATAACTGACTGTAAGCATGGATATCCATATACCCTACGAGCTTCGACCTGATTCTATGCAGATAACGAGCAACGTTACGAGATTCAACCTCTGAAAAAGGTCTGGGTCCGTGGAAAATATCGCTGCAAGGGTTGCTACTTGTGCCAGTTCCTGCAATAGACCGTTTTCGAATGAATAACATACCGCTGTGTTCACTAATAGTCTCTTTCACAGTTCCCTACGCCATCTTGAAAGGTAGCCGTGCCTTTGCAACGAAGCGAGACGAACAGTGAGCTTACAATATTAAAGAACTTTTTTAACACCTTGGACAAGTATTCACATATCTCTGTTAATACCATTGCAAGCTCACCGTTCGTCTCGCGTCAACGCAAAGGCACGGTCACCTTTCAAGATGGTGGAGGGAACTGTGAAGAGGACTATTACAGATTCATTTACTCAAGGTTAGTTTCATTTCAACGTCAGAATATTCACGTGCATAACAACGGTAAATTAAGGAATGATCATTTTCAACAATCCAAACACTTTGAAATTTCACTAACATTCACTGGAACAACTAAATATTCTACACAAAATTGGGGCTAACCCTGAGCAACAGAGAAACTACATGGAGTATTCCATATTAACATTAATTCTAAAGCTTAAAGTTTGAAGTTTTTCAAGGGRATGCCTACCGCACAGAAAGAATTGCAATTTATATATAGACTGGTTAGTATGAGGTGGTGGTCAAGGGAGGTGGTCAGTATGAGGTGTAGGCACTGAGGGTGGTCACTGCCGCCAGGGTTCTTTACCTCTTCGATGGTTCTTTTACGTCTTCTCTTATGTTGGTTAGTAGTGTGGAGAGACGAGACCGTCATTTAAAGTGGTCATTAGAGCCACTTAAATGTCTAATAACTATTCATAAATATTATTACGAAGGCAGCACTTTCTCCTCGGTTATTTTAAGACTCCGAGTGGTGATCCGGCCAAGGCTTCAACCCACGACCTCTCACACAAAAGTCCGATGCTCAACTCCTCGAGCCGATCATGAAGTGCGTTCATAGGGTGCATCGTTATAAATAGTTTAGGGGAAAAAGATTTTTTAGCAAAGTAGAGTCATTATCTACCGGGTCTACCTACCTCCCCACTTAACGTTAAAGTTTCTGTTCGGGTCTGCTCCAAAGCAACCACTTCCTTGGGGCGATCTAGTCTTACGCCACATTCGATTCTGTACAAGAAAACACAGAGGATACGCGCATAAATATTTAGTGCAGCAAGCAAATGAGACATGTTTTTAAAATTTCTTCACAATATTCTRTGGTTGGCATATATATTTAAGGCATTACAGAAGTCTACTGAGTGGAATGAAAAACTTACTGTCACATAACTTCTGGCTGTTGTCTTTATCACAACCAGTATTATTGTCATTATCTGATTATCATCACACAACATAACATCGTCACCGTCACCGTCACCGTCACCGTCACCGTCACCGTCACCGTCACCGTCACCGTCACCGTCACCGTCACCGTCACCGTCACCGTCACTTACAGCAACATTATCCTAATTCTACCGTCATCACTGCCATCACCATCGCCAACATCTTTATCAACTACAAGTACTTATAACTACCACTATTATCAAGGGCGGATCCAGGGGGAGGGTCGTGGGGGTCGCGACCCCCCTGTCATTCTTGAGGTCAAATGGGCTTCCTGTGGTAAAAATGCGACTGGGATTCCCTTGCCCACAAAATATACCCCTGAGACCCCCCCCCCCCTTCAAAAAACCCTGGATCCGCCCTTGATTATCATCGCTACAATATTGTGATCACATCACATATGCACACGCATTCTGTTTAAAAAAACACAAATTGAACTGTGCTATATTTTTGACTCACCGAAGTCCATGTGTACACGTAACCATCTACATTCAGTACAGGCATGATAACGACGTCCAGTTTATTAAGCATTGCTGTTATACTGCTATCAGACCCATACTTAGTGATAATCTAAAACACACAATCAAATATACAGTGAATGCATAAGAAATGTGAAAGTGGTTTGTTGAGGACCAAAGGTTCCCTAGTTTTAAAATGTTGAAAGGCGCGTTACGAATGCACGTGACGAAAGAAACGAGAAAGAATAGCGCGTTGGCTTGTGGGGAGGGCATATTTAGCTGATTCAGCATTCTTACGCACATGCGCATTGGTTAACACGTCCATATTTACCTGATTAAACATGCCTAAGCACATGCGCATTGGCTAACAGGTCCATATTTAGCAGATTCCGATTCTTACACACACGCTCCTTGGTACGAAGTCCATATTTACCTGATTCAACATATACATACAGGTTGCCGGGGTGATCCACTCACGAGCATGAATACCACAGTTCATGAAGAGAGTCTTCTTGTCTGCTCCAGAACTGAGCTGATGATCACAAACAAAATTAATTTTATTGGTTACATGCAACGCTAGAT